TGAACAGCACAGCAGCTGGTATCCTATCCCGATCCCAGGGCATTACCAGTGGACACACCCCTGGCACAACCCCAGAGGCTCTGAGAGCTGTCCCAGGGAGAGCCAGCAATCTGTTCCCCACAGAGAGAAAAGAACATACTTGGAAAACTGGAAGATGTCGAAGACAAACTTTTCCATCTTAATCCCGTTGGGCTTCTCAGGTTGGATTAGCTGCCCTGTAGTGATGTCCACATGTGGGATCTTCTTCTCAGCTACATGGTGCTGCAGCTGTGGTTCATAAGTGCTGCAACAAGCCATTTAGAAAAAGTTCTCACTCACCTGAGCAAGGCCCTTCTCTAGTTCCCCAGCTTAGACACTGCTGCAGCAGGATGACTGCTCTGCCCTGACCCCATCTGCCCTGAGGCATGGGCTGTTCATTCCTGAGGATGGCCCCACACACCCGCACTACACCAGCACCAGCCAGTGGTGGTTGGAGGAAACCTTATCTCAATGCTGGGAGTGTGCAGAGAGGCAGGGGCCAGGGACCAGACTTCAGGCACCTCATCCCAGCATGCCTGCAAACAGCTGGATCTCAACCAGCACAAAGCAAGGCATAGGCAGCTGGCTCTGCTTGATGCCAGCACTTCAACATCAGTGCTCCTCCTCCTGCAGCCCAGCAGCACCCCAGCAGGCCCTTACTTGACTACATCTTTCAAGAAGGCAGTGGTGAAGTAGTGATTGGCGATGTTGCCCGCATTGAAGAGCAGCCGCCCATCCGGGCCCCGTTTCTGGGCAGTGGCCAGGGAGATCTCACTGTACTCCACCACCTGGTACACACCATCTACTCGGCACACCACACCGACTGGCTCCGTGGGGTTGGTCTTCTCCACCACCTGCCCAAGGAGAAGATACTCAAAGCCCTGTGCTTCAAATATACTCCCTTGTATACAGTATCCCCTGCCAAGGCTTTTTGCTGTGCCGGGATAGTGAAGGGATAGAGATGTTGGAGCCCTCCCCTGCCAGGTACTTCTGATAACAGGGACTAGAGGAGGACGAGATGGCAGTGCTGGGTGACAGGTGTCAGGCACACCCAGAAGGCCCAGGGAGGATCTGGCACCAAGCCCACGTGCAGCTGGCAGAGGGCATGGATATTTTTAGCACCGAACCCACACAAGAAAAGCCAGTTTGCTGTGCACTGCCAGGAGGTTGCTGACACAGCAGAGCCAGCCCCCTACACCTGACCTACCTCCTCTCTTCCTTGCACCCCACACACGTCCATCTGGGCATAGGACTACCCCAGCAAATCCCTACCCATCACTGTCACCAGGGCAGGGTGGCATGCAAGGACACACAGCTTTCTCCTTTCTGCAGGTTTATTTCCTTTTTCTATCATGCAGGCCAGGAGGAGGAACTGCTTTCCCTTTCTCAGCTTGCACTCTGAAAGCTTCAAGGCCAGGAAGCTCTCTCACCTGTTTGCCAGAGCCGAGCCCTGTGCAAACAAGAACAGCCTCTGTGGCTGTCAAGCCAGTCTTTAAGTAAAGCTTTGAGTGTGTAATGTCCTATCTGCGAGACACAGGGCTGGGTTCAGCATCAGCTCTCAGCTGCACCCACCAAGTCCTGGTCAGGTGCCCAGCATGTCATGGTTGGGGACAGCTAGCAGCCTATGGCAGTGATCCTGTCTGCCTGTTACCCACAGCCACCCGGAAACAGCTGCCCAGCATCCGGGTGTGAACTGGGCAGTTCCATAGAGCTCCCCAGCAGCCTCTGGGCCCCAGGGATTAGGGGACCTCTAAGCCCTGGGGCTGTTGGTGCCATGCCCCCATGCAAGGCAGGAGAATGGTGCCAGGTAGTGGTCAGTGATGTCCCACATCCCCCAGGATATCAGACCTAAGGGGCTGGTAGGACTCTGACAGCATGTGCTACTTCACCAGCAAGCTCCTGGTGCTCAGCCATCCCTCCTGGCTGTGGCAAGCCACCAAGGGAAGGCTGAGGAGAGAGGGAAGCCAGACAAGGAGCAGGACAAACCCCACTCAGCTCCAAGGAAGCTGCCTGCCCCTGAAACCATACCTTGGCCCCGCAGTCTGCTCCCTTCTCCAAGCAGAACCCGATGAACCTGGGGTCAGCCACCTTCACCAGGATGTTGTCCACACAGTAGACATGGACACTCTGCACACCTCTCCTCTCCATGTCATCCATGATGCCGTGTGCCCCCAGGGCCCGGTACAGGCCCCCATTGCCATCTGTGGCAGGAACAAACTGTTGTTGGGGCTGCAGCAACACACAACTGTCCCATCAGCCACCCACGCACATCTTCCTTCCCCATGGAGCTGGTGTGGAGGGTCATCAGACCAGACATACCCCACCCTGGTCCTCCCTGCCAAGTTGGACACTTCCCAGCCTGCGTCACCCGTGGGCCACGTCACGGTGCAAAACCGTCCTGTGCAGGCTCCAGCTCCAAAAGCTTGTCCTCAGCACCACATGCACCCCTCCCATCGGGTCCTGGCCACCAACCTGGTGCCATAGCAATCTTGCCCTTCTCCTCTAGCAGGATTTTCCCATCGAACCCCAGGGCAGGCAGCATGCCCTGCTGGAAGAAGATGACATTTTCCTTCTTCAAGCCAAAATAGCGATGCTTCTGGAAGAACTCCTTGGTGGACTCCATGGTGCGGCCACTTGTCATAATGTACCTGTCACAGAGCAGAAGACACTCAATGAGCAAGGAAGAGAGGCAGGGTCTCACACTCCCTATCCCAAATGTGGGGAACACCCAGGACAGGATTTTTCTCCCCCACATGTAAAAGGATCTGACCTGCTGTGGTCCCACCCCTTTGGCAAGCTGAGGAAGGGCTTCACCCTTGCTTGCAAGACATGTCTCCAAAACTATACAACACCCTGTGCAGCGCTGGGGACACTCAGCTGCAGCAGTCAGTTCCTGCCTTGGGGTCAACCTACTTCTCACAGTATCACAGCAGCCCCTTGCCTCCCAGACCCCTGCCTTGCACGGCTGCTGTCTCACATGGGGACATCACAGACTTTCCAGAGAGCTGTGAGGCCAAGTCTGACAACACAGGACCTGTCAGTGCCACACTCTGAGCCTTGAGCCACTAACTCTAACAGGCTCTGCCCATAGCAACAGCTTTGGTGTCAAGAGAAGCTATGCCAGCCCATGGTCCTGGAGCTACCAACAGGGTCTGCGCCAACCCACAGTTCTCAGGCTGAGTCAATACCTCTGCATCCACCCAGGTCCTGCCAAGGGGAACTCTACCAACCCAGGGGCTCTCAGGCTGCTGACAACCACAGCACCAAGCCAACCCACCAGGTCTTGACCCATCAGCACCAAGGAGACCTTGCTGACACCAGCCCACAAGCCCTGTACCCGAAACCCATCCCTGAAAACACCGTCCCCCCGC